ATCATGAGGGAGCTCTGCTATACACTGAGAACCAGTTAAACAACTTCATAGTGGCAGGAGTATGAGATTGTCCTGTCARCTGTGAAACTTTTATTTATTTCTTCTATTTTATGAGTAATGCTCATCAGGTGTAGCTTGCTCTCTGGGCCCGTGGAATTAAGTGACTTGGTTCACTAGCACACTTGGTTACATTTTTTAAAAAATTGAAAAATAAATTTGGTTTGGTGGCTTTATTTGGGGCTTTTTGTTTTGTTTTTGAGMCCAGAAATAAGAAGGTCTCTAGAAACAGTCACCCCCATTCAAATGCGGTATTTTGCAGCCATGTGCATCACGCAGCTGCAGCTGACTCAGGTGTGGCAGGGTCCAGCCAGGCCAGGAGAATATAAAACTAATGTGAGTGAGCCAAACCCTGTGTGCACACAGGCATTCCCACCTCTGGGAATCCAGGCATGGCTGACTCCTRGAGGAACTGAAATACTGTGTGACTAGCACAGAGTTCACACTTTTTATTTTTCTCCTGAAAGTGGTATTTCATGAGACAAGCAGTTGCAGTTCTGAAATGAGGAGAAAACTGACATGTATTTAACCAAACGATATCCGGCACCCATACAAGAGAGTCAGAAAATACAGATAATATCTCTCTTAACAAGCAGTATTTTTCCTGCTTTTTTTCTTTCTTTTTTTTTTCTTTTTTTCTTTTTTCTTTTTTTTCTTTCTCAGTTCTAAGACCGAACAGTTAAGGAAGGTGAAAAAATGGTACAAATATTTCCACATCTAACATTAAGAGATCCCCTAGCACAAACCAGACTGTGCTGTGCTCTGCARAAGCAGGAAGAAGAAACCCTCAGTATTAAATACACACACACACACCCCCAACATTAGTTTGTGAAAGGATGGGGAATGAGATTTCTTTAAGAAATCCTGCCCTGGCTTTCTTTTCAACAGTCATAGCACCAGCAGCACCATTCTGGCATGAACTGTATCATTCTCAGAGCTGGATGTATGTGTTAAAGGAGCACGAGGCTAAGGACTTTGACAGAAGTAAATGATACTGAATCCTTATTGAACTGTGCAGTTTTTTTCCTTCCTCTCTTTCCTTATGGCTTCAACTATATTTCTAGGGCAGAGATGAGGAAACTCAAATAGAGAGAAGTTGAGACTCTTACCAAGCATCGTTGATAAGTTCAGCTCTTCTCTGAGTGCTTTTATATGGAAATGGCAGTGGTGGAAATCTGAGACCATCTTTCAGAGATGCAGGTTGAAATGAAGGAATGTTTGATACAGCCTGCAGCTGCAGTTCTATTTATGACTTAACCAAGAGCGCTGCGAATCAGTGGCAGTGCAAGAAGCAGCACTTCAATTCTACAGCTAAGTTGTCTTTTAAAAAAGACAATTAATTAAAAAAATGTGAAAAGTCACCAACTGCCCAAGATTAGATTATGTTTTTATACCTCACTTCTTAGGCTGCTCTATTCTGTTATGTGACATTTAAATAATTTTCCCCAGTATTGGCCACTAGGTGTTGGTGCRGGGCGGAAGCAATTTACCTCCTTTTTTATGACCAGTTGTTGTTCTGGGCATTTCTCTTTGAAATTAAAATGGAAAGCATTCCCTCCTTTCCATTTCTAAATTCATAGGCAAACAAATGTTAGTGAGATTGCATATGTGTAAGATTGCCATGCAGTAATGAACTTACCATGGTGCAATGGTTCAGATCTAGTTAAGGCATGAAATACAAATATGATGCTCTAGAATCCAAGACACAGAGCTCAATAAATGGATGTATTTCAAATCCACTATTTTTGCCCTGTCATTTTACATATAGGGATTTCTCAATCATGTGTAACAAGAAGAAATCAAATTATATTAAATGGGCCATTAAAGTCAAGTTTACTAAGTTTTCTTGACTGCAGTCTCTTGTAAAGAGGGAAGCATACCCATTCTCCAACTTCTGCCCTACCAAGTCCATGAGGTGAGCCTGATTCATGTCAGCTGGGCAAACTGCTATTAATTTAACAAGTAAAAGACTGATACCCATTTAATGAACCAAAGAGTTCACTACTGCAAATATACTCTACTGCTAACAGGTTTCTATTAAAAAAAAATGCATTGTTGGATGCCTAATTGCACACTAAGAAACATATTATTTGTTTGCTACTTGTTACCACATAGTTCTGATACTATGAGTTTATATTGGTTTGAAACCAAAGATAGTCTTCAGATTTTTAGGATAGGTCCTCTTTTCAGCCTAGACTAAGTCAAAGGATCAACCTCCAATGTTGTAAGTGGGAGCACAGTTAGATCCTTGGAAGATGCAGTTAGCTTTTGATTACTGTTACTTTTTAACAAATTTCCTTAGCTTACACGTAGCATGAAGAGAGCTGCCAGGCTGTTGCTTGCCTTCCAATTAAACCTCTGGGGTTTTTTTGTTTTTGTTTTTGTTTTGTGTGGGAAAAAAATGTGTTGAACAAACTGAAATATTTTGGCTGTCTCTCCTTACCTATGCATCTTAYCTGTAAGAGATACCTCAACTTGGCAGGGTGGGACTTCCAATGGAAAGTTGCTGGAAGTTCGCTAAGTTCCCTATATCCCAGAAAAGTGAAGAAGTAACTAAACAAGGAGCTAAACAGTGAATAGCAAAAAAAAAAAAACAACTTTATTGATCTTACTTCCTGCTTTTATTTTTCTTTGCTGTAAAATTCACATATTTTCTTGTCCATTTGTGCAATCTGCTTTTGCTYTTGCACTTACATGTAGTGGGTGCAGTTTTGCCCATTTAAGAATACCTCACAGAAGCTGGATATGAGGGGACCTTATGATCATCTAGTTAGTCCCTCTGCCAGTGCAGTTCTGTTTCTTCAATATCCTGCAGTCCTCTGGMTGTGGTTTTGGGTGGTTTACCTGATGCCACTCTCAACACTCCAGCTCAGCAATTATTCCACAGTTTGATAGGTGTGTCTTAAGAAATGCAGTCACATACTCATCTCATTCATTTAAACATAGATTTGTGCAAACAACCCATACCAGCTAATTAGAAGATGACTTAAAACTCTTGTCATTACTTCCCATCACAGTATAGATGGGAAAGCACAATGCTTTGATCCATCCAGGAGGTAGAGAAGAATCCATTAACTTCATTCAGATCAGGTCTGTAACTAGCATCACTAAACAGCTGTCACTTAAATAAGCTGTATTTGGTTTAGTTTTTCTATTTCTGGTGTTTTCAGTTTTAATTAATATTTGAATTTTAATGAGGGAATTATTGTTAGGAAAAGACCCACAAAGCTAGGGCTTTATGCCATGAAATTACTGCCCTTACTGGTATGCCAGTTGCCATGGGATGTCCAGCAGATTTCATCAATAGAATTTGATAGCATCTCCATTTTGCACACAAGGGTCTTACGTGAACATTACAGAGTTCAAATCTTGCTCTGGATCTGTTCTAGTCCTTGATATTTTGTAATAGTTAATGAAACCAATCACTTWGATATTTCCTTCAGTAGTTATTTATATGGCATGCTTTTGTTAAAGATGTGTGAAGTAATTTTAAAAGTAGTTCTGCAAAACAGCAATAGTACTGTGGGCAGGAGAYGTATGCTGTGACTGAGGGCTGAATCAAGAAACCTCACCATTTCTGGAAGCACAATACRTAGCAAGAAAGTTCTTTTTTTGCTGTATTGTGTACAGCATTAAAGCAGTTCCCCAATATTTACAATATGTTAAAGCACCAAATTGTTTTCCTCTGCAAAACCTTGTGTACATGAGATACCAGGGTTTGTTTCCTATTTACAAAAAAAAAACAAAACCGACATGAAAATCCTTGGAAGTTGTGCATTTACTGAACTCTGCTAACTGTGCCTGTTGAAGAAGTCATGGCACTACAGGCACTTCATTACTTGTAGGTACAAGAACCAGACAGAGCCTGATTTAGGTATTAGTGAAGCTTGCTGGCACTGTAGTTGAATTTTTAGTTGAGGATAAAATTTTATTTTTGGGATAGTTCTTTTGGAGCCCCAGAATACTTGTGGGTTAGATTTCACTGTATCGTTGAAGCAAATCCGAATGTGTTCTAAATGAAAACTTATGAAAGAAGAGTTTTTACAAAGGGTGTCCATTTGATAATCTTTGTAATCTGTCAATCTGTGCTGGCTAAATTGGATCTTCTGAGCATTTACTTCTGGAAAACATACATGTCGCATAAATATCAGAAGTGGTAAGGGTGATAACCGTGTATCCAGAGCAGTGAATTTGGAGGAGACATTGGCATGCATTCTTTTAAAAAATACAGCTCCCCTGTATTCATAGGAAGTTTTCTCTGCTATAGAGTACGGTTTGGTCCTAAGAATATAATGCTTTAATAGTCTTTAGGARTTTTTTTAAGTTTTATTTCATTTGTGATTCCTCTTATTGTGTTATTTGAAAATGAGGCTGCTCTGATGACTAACTGAATCTACTTTCATCACTATTAGGAAAGGAAAGTCCTCCAGTTAGTGATGTCCCTGATGATCCAGATGAACCCATGCCTATACCAGAGGACCTTTCAACTAGTACTGGAGGTCAGCAGAATTCAAAAAATGACAGAATCTTGGGTAAGATGACAAATCTACTCTGATAAGTAATACTAGCAGATAATATAGCAATAATGTTAAATTACTTTTTAACAAGCTGGTATACAAGGAGATCCCGTGCCATTTCATCTTCTTCAGGTGCATAGGTAGTTTTTGTGCAACCTTTTTTTTTTGGAAAGGCATCTTCATCCACAGARAAGTTACAAAGATCCTACTGTGTATTTGTCTTCTTGCTAAAGCACAACTTTTGCATGCCATTCTCCCCAGGAAAAATAATTTCTATTCTGTGTAAGAAATGGAATTAAATATGTGGTTCCAGGTCAAAATTATCTGAAGTCAGATTTGGTAAAAGTTCAGTAAATGCTCAGGTATTTTTACTGTTATTTTTATTGTTAATAATTTGAATGCTGTCTTTTGAGTGTTACTGTGTTATCTGCTATTCAGATTTCTCCAGAAATGCATATTAGAACAGAACATACATCGTATCATATCTTTCAGATTCCAATATCTGATCTCCATTTATCCTTAATTTTTTACTGAGAGAACTTCATAAAACACTTGTCTTTTAGATAAAAATCCACAACTGACAAAGTCTGTTGGGTTAAAATTGTTGTCCAGAGATGATTGGGCAAAATGCTGATTATTTTTAGGGATCCCAGACTCACACCAAGGACTAGCAATGGTGTTTACTGCTGCATTCACCAGCTCCTATGTAATGCAATAAAAAAGACTAAATAATACTTGAGCACCATGCCTATTTACTAGTAGGAAGAAAAAAAAAAAAGAAAAAGAGGAAAAAAAGCACACTGACTCCCAGAATGCTGTGATCAATGCCCTATATGACAAAAAACATTTCTGTAAAGGCATGACTATCAAAGTACCTGCATCTACCCACAAATAAAAGTGTTGCTCATCATTCTTAAATTATTTTAAGAGTGAGGGTCAGGGTGGACGATTTACAGAAAGATTGCAAGTTTATTGTTTAGCGAAATCCAGATACGAGGTGGAAAGGGAGGCACAGAAGACAAAATAATAGATTCAAGATAATACAACAGGTTGGTGTCAGCATTAGGAATAGAAGCCACTCCCAAACTCCAGAAATAGTGAGTGCATCATCTAATGCATACTCRTTTTATTTACCATTAGATCCACTTTTTATCAAGAATGTGAGCACAAATTTCAGTTCCTACCTGCATACTGACCAATTGAACAAATTCATATTTTAAAAATGCTTTTTWAAAATCTGATTACTTACCTAATGCTGTATTTTTCAGTCCAGAGATCTTTGGACAAAATCTTTCATTAACTGCTTGTCTATCAACTCAGTAAAAGAGTTATGTCTCCTTTCTCCCACTAACTAACCCTACAAAATATTTAAGCCTTGATTCAAAAATTAATAAATTTCTTAAGTTCTGTATTCAAACCCAAACAAACAGAATTTTTCATTGCATTGGATTTTCTTTAATATACTCACAAATACTATACAGATGCAGCAAAGTTAAACTATATTTGCTGATGATGTAATGATTCTGCCAACAGTTCAATCATATATCAATATGAGCACATATTCTAAATATTATAAGTTCCATCTGTTATTCTCATTACTGAGCAATAAATTAGATTTTCCATGTTGTAACTTTAATAGTTTTCTACAGCCACTTTCTCCACCCATAACTTGTTTTGCAAGGGTTGCATCTTGTAGTGAGATACTTACCATAGTCAACAGAAACAATTGACAACACTCTGCTTTATGGATGATCTGTGGATAKCAACTCCTGTGCCTGCAATGTTTGTCTTTTCTGTAATGCTGCATACGCTTTTACCTCTTCTATTCCTCCCTTTTTCTAACTCTAAGCTATCTCTCTGAAAAGAATAAATTGAAAAAAATTACTTTGCTGTTTTTACAAAGAAGATCTGAGGACATGCCCTAGGCATATCAGGAGCCATATGATTGCTATGCACATTCTGGATCTTTATCACAAGAAAATCTCTTAGGAATAAAACAACCCCTTAGGAGTGGTGTTTGGCCTATATGATCCTACAGATGCATTAGGGCTGAAGTGGGCTTTCTTCCTATATACACAGTGGCATGGCAGTGTAGACAGGCTTGATGTTTAGTACAATACCGTCATCTCCAAGTCCCATGATCCATTTCTCACCTCTATTTAWTACCAAACTTAGATAGACAAGGGTGATCTGAAAAAGTAGTTTGAAGAACGAAAGACAGACAGGAGAGTGTTGTAAAGACCCACTGATGTTTTCTGTGTGCGTCTGGCAGGTGGGGGATAGACTGTGGCCTGCTTGATCAGATGTGACCAGCCAACAATGACCAGCAACTCTCTATATGACTATCCTAATGTCCCATCTGTTTCCTTCATCATAAGGGACTCACCTAGCATTTGGATGTATTTCAACACAGGACTTACAGTGTATTCCACTTAATCTGTAACATTCTGCAAGATCACCTGTCCATACAGTATCCACCAAGGACTTTCAGTCAGACATTTACTGAAGAAGGTTTCTATATTCTTTGAGAATGTAGACTTTTTGGACGTGTARGGCTATAGAGGTAACAATGCGAATTACAGGTTTGTTAAATAAAAAGAGTAAGTGTTTAACTCATCCTGCTGAAATTAGGTGAAAATCTGTTATTAACTTTAATCAGCCTATAATATAGAAATGTTCAAGTGACAGCTTGCTTATTCAGATTTGTAATAACATTTCATTAAATGTTCTTTAACCCTTGAGTCAAAAATTTAATTACCTTTTTCATCAATTTAACATTTTAAAGGTCAAAGATTACAGGAAATAAGCTATTTTTAGAAAAGAAAGGCTCCAGCTCCTCCATGTCTTTTCAGAAATTTCTGTCAGCTTCTTCCAAACCTGTACTGAGACTGGAATGTGGTGCTATAGAGCTGATAGAACCATTTGAAACATCTCTCATGCTCTGAGAAGGAAGATGATGAAGCCGTCTCAGATTTTCTTGGATGCCTTCTGTTTTTGAATTCTTGCTTAAAATGACTAGGGAGGGTGCAGATTTCATAAGGCAGATATCCAGAGGATCCTGAAATGCATGTGTCCCCAATTTTGACTTGTCCCCCCAGGCAGGGGGTACACCCAAGACCTGGGTTTCTTCTGACCAGCGCAAAAAGGATCAGTGGGTTTGGAAGGATAATTTATGGAAGTAAAGTCATCAGCAGTTTCTAGTAATAACACCAAGTAGCATGGCAAACCAGAAGCATATTGAAAGACATGTTCTGGTCACCATCAAGGCTCTTCATTTCCTTGATGAGCTTACTATGATTTTAATGTTGCAACCAAAAATGCACTGTGTGTTGAGCAGCTTCCTTCTGAAAGCTGAATTCTTGCTGCTCTGTTCACTTCATCTTCTTCCTTCCTTGTCCTATTCTCCACTCAAAATTTACTTCTCAGGCTGACCTGGCACCTATACATTGTATTATTTTCTTCTTATTCTTTTAATGCACATGCTCTACAGATAGTTTCTGTAGAGAAAACAGGGAATATTTTCAGCAAAGTGGGAGATTTTCACAGCTCTTTAAGGCTCTAGAGACTGTTCTATCATCTCTCCTAAATACCCTTCTGAAATCTTGGTCTGAGTTAYTTAGGATACACATCCCACTGAAATTACATTCCATGAAGAATTAATGTTGTGCAGCCTATTCTGGACAGSCCTATTTCCCATGGTAACCTGTTTGAAATATCATCTGATGATTTTCACTGTCTCTGCAAGTTTCAGGTTAAACATCGTATGCACCTTTTGTGGATGATCAATACTGAACATCCTGTGTGTGGCAAAGAGTTTCAATTTAAGGCTGTTTGTACTCTGAGACCATATCCTAATTCAAGCCATGTGCGGCAACTTAATGACTCAGTGAACTCAGACCCTACTTCATGGAGAAAGAGCCATTTGCTGCAGCGGTAGCATCTGTCTAGAAAGGTGGGCAGTGCCTTCCTTTATCTGTAACTGCCTGTTCCACAGCTGGCCATCACTGGGTAAAAAAAAAGCCTTCTCACAGTGTTATTGGCCTCRGAAAGAGGCTGTGGGCTCACCATTTCCACAGAGACGGCTGCCTGGGCTACAGATGACCATCAACTTCTAAGATAGAAGTCAAATGTTATCACTGTAGTCACAGATTACAGTCTGGACCTGGAATAAATAATGTATACAAGTATTTTTTCTTTTTAAGAGGTGAGGAGAGGTCATCTCACAAAATTGGGTTGAAACCGCTATACAGTTGACAGAGGATATCCAAAGTAATGAGTCAACGTGATCTTAGACATCAGTAGAGGACAGACAAGATTCATATGAATTTATAAATATTTTAAATAAAGAATTCTAGTATGGAAAGAGATATTAAAAAGAATCAATTTTTTGGACATTTTTCTCTCCCAGTGGGAAATACCAAGTGGTGATGTTACTTCCCTCCCACAACTCAGTTATTGAAGCTGAAGCTTGTGTAGCTGAGGGCTTTAGTTCCTGACATCAACAGGACCCTGGCATTGCCTTCACACCTTGGGGTCTTTCCTCCCAGCCATGGGCATTCAGAGGTTGGAACTTGCACGAGGAACTACTTACTGGGGCAGGCAAGTGTCCCCTCTCTGAGCAGCTTTGATGCTTTATTTCCTTAAAAGGAGCTCAGCCCTTTAAAAGCACAGATATGAGCATTGCTGAGGGGCCACCGGGCAACCACAACCATTGCCATTACATAAATCTGCTGCAACTCATACAGCTGGGTGGAGACAGAGGAAAAGTGTGGAAAGGCTGCAGACAGAGGGGAAAAGCGAGGAAAGACAGAAGGGGAAGTGCCCCACCCCAGCTTGCAAAATCGGTCCTGTGGTTCAGACAGGTCCAGCTCACTGCTGCCCCGGTAATTCCGCCAGTAGGGAAAGGGGCTGGGGGAAAAGACTGCTGGAGCTAAACATCTTTACACATTCCTCGTGTGGGAGTTCAATAGCTTTGAAGGCAGCATCTTGTGTATGAATAATAATGTGTGGCATGT